TTGAATAGATTATATACATGATGAAACCATTTTTTTATTTTTTTTTTGAAAAATTAGATTCAAAACATTTCATTTGCAAATCAAGGAATTTCATGTATGATTTAAAATAAGTAATCCATTTATGATATAAAAAAGCTTGATCAAGTAATTACTTCCTTTAATTTTAAGGAAACTTTATTGATCAATGTATTTATCATAAGTTGAGTGAGAGTAAATTTAGTACCCTAGTGCTATATGTTGATTCTATTTTACTAACAAGCAATGAGATAGGCTTATAGCATGAAACTAAGAGGTCCATGAATATAGTTGGGAATGCATCCTTTGTATGGGGTATATAAATTTATTGAGATTCTTCATGTGATCTATGATGCTCTAAGATCTAATTTTAAAGAACTATCTCTATAAATATTTTAATTATCTACTAGTGCCACTAATAGCTATCCTTATATAAAATAATTGAATATAATGGAAGCAACCCTACACTTATCATCAAAACATACATACATTTACATTTTATATTCCCACAAGAATTATACACGATATCCATGAATATAGTTTCTCATATTAGTCTATTCTTATTCATTCATGACTATAAATTTAATAACATAAAATAAAATATCTATAATTTTCAATCTTAAACAACCCAACTCCATTAAGTCAATACCTAAAATCATATAAACCACATATAATGAGTACAAAGCTCAATAGGTTACCGGCCAAAACATATAATAGTTATCAATGCACAATAATAGAAACAATATGTATGAAATCATTAATATCATATCATTATGAACATGTAGTAGTCAGTATGAATAGTATTGATTTATATGAGGAATAACAATCAATGCAACCAATATAAATTAATAAATAAAGTAAATCAATGTGATCAATAACCATTAAAGAATCTATAATCCCAGTCATTTCTATTTCAATGTCATTTACAATATCAGATAAAACTATTAATCTTTGTATGCACATGTACTTAGAGTAGAAGCCTATATGATATATTAGTATAACTATCATGTCTATAAGCTAAAATGGATCATGCCTTTGTTTTATCAATGATCAATACAATGTAATCTATTGCTTATCAATGCATCATGAATATTATGAATGCCACTCCTATATTTAGTCATGCATATTAATATGTTTATTGCTATGGATGTTATGTCATATCAATATATTTTCTCATCAAGTTAAAGTATTAATATTATCCTTTTTGTTGAAAAAAAACTCTAAAATAAAGTTATCTTATTTCAATTACAGTTTAACATAAAGTATTGAATTTAGATTTATAGCTTTTATTAGTTATAATATTGAGCCAGTTGAAAATAGGCATGCAACAATATCATATTATATGAAATTTTAATACTACTTGTTCATGCTTGATCTATATCATTAATCAAATTAAGATATTGATTATTGATAGGTCTTGTTAAAAAAAATTATGGCAAATATCAATTTGATTCTATATTGATATAAGTAATAGACCAAATTGTCTAGAGATGTCCTTCAAGAATATAGCAAATGTTGAACTAAAAAGTTCATAATATATAGTTTTTAAGTGATATATACAGCCCAAGTGTGAGATTGTTAGAATATTTCTATTATGAATTCATATAAATATAAACTTATATATTATATGTTATCTTAATTGGGCAAAAAAGTCAATTCATAAAAAATAAATTAGTATAGATACTTGGAATATAGGTTCTATTTATATAATATTGTTGCGGGCTAGAATATATGCGGCAATAAGTTAGAAAATTTTCGTCTTAGCGTTGTACGGATATCCAGCACACAAATAGAAAAAATTGCAACACCATAATTTTTACGTGGAAATCATGGAAAAAGGAAAAATCACAAGGCCATGCCAAGTTGGAAGGATTCCACTAGTATTTACTTAGATTATAAGTGGCTTATTCGTCCTTGAAATTGAGGATGATCAGATTATAATAATCAACTCCCTGATTGAAATTTAGCTACAAACATAGATAAAACATCCAAAAGAATTTGATGGTCGGGTAAAAATCCTACTTCTATTGACTGTTTGGAAGAAATCCAGCATTAATCGGCTATCGGGCAGAACTCCAACGTCAGTCGATTGTCGGGTAGAACTCCGACGTTAGTTGTCAGTCCGGCGGAACTCTGATATCAGTCGGTGATCAGACAGAACTCGGGTGTTAGTTGGAAGTCCGACAAAATTCTAGCATCGGTCGGCTGCCGGGTGGAAGCCTAACGGTGGTCGAGTAGGAGTCTGGTGGCAAGGGAGCTCTCTTCATTCTCTTCATTTTCTTACTTCTCTTATTATTATTATTTTTTGGAAATTTAGGCCATTTAAGGAAAACTCACACACACAACGCATACACAAAGACTCGAACCCTAGACTTCTTAGTTGGAAGCCTAAGCTCTCAACCAACAGGCTAAGGTGAGCTATCTACTTCTCTTATTATTTCATTCCATACTTTTTTTGATTGGGTCCCCTCTCATGAGAAATGAGGGGTCTATTTATAATTTTTTGAGAGTGACATTACCACTAAATAGGAGAAAGATCAAGGGTTAATTGTGAGTGATTTGAATAGAAAGCTGATGTTGAATCCCTTGATCGTGGACTATTTATTGGCATTTGAAGGCCCTAATGATATCAAAATTCAACGATCTTGGATTCTTCTTGTAGAGCCGCTCAATTCGACTATAAGCATGTCAAGTTTGGAAACCGTTTGGTAATCCAAATTATAGTTTGAACCCTCCAAATGCTCTTCGGGGTCTTTGATTTGGACTCATTTGGGCTCGGATTGAGTTCCATTTGGTGTCGTTGGGTTCGTATATCCGAGACGTTCAATTCTACTATAAGTTTGGTGAAATCGGAGTTCATATAATTTTCAATTTAATTTTGAAATTTCCAACTTGATTTCGCCTCGAGATTTGTGACCGATCAAAATTATTTTTTGATGATATATCATTATATCCAATATATTATATATTAAAGAGGCAAACAAATGTATGCATAAGTTAACCAAGCAAAGAGATATGAGAATTAAAAATTTAGTTCAAGTGAAGAGCATTAAGGATGAAGAAAAATAAAATTATTAGAAGAGGACTTTCAACAAAAATTGATGAGATATTTTGATAAGCTTTTCAATGAAAATTGTAAAAATATGATTGACTTTAGTGACTTTAGCACCACAAATAAAAATAAAGATTTTTATTTTTATCATTATATTAGTAACATCAAAGTCATAGAGACTTAAAAAAATGAGTGTAGAAAGCTTTTGGAAATGATGATATTCTAATAAAAGTGTGAAATTGCATATGAGATGGAGTTTCTTGGCTTACGAAACATTTCAATTTTATTTTGAAAACTAAAAGGATGCCAGATGAGTGGAGTATGTTGATTTCTATTTTTAAGAATAGAAGATGCATAAGAGTGTGAATTATTGAGGAATTAAATTAATATGTAATACTTTAAAACTTTGGAAGAGAGCTATTGAGCATAGGTTATGAGTGATACTAATATATCTCAAAATCAATTTGGATTCATGTTGGGTAGGTCTACTACGGAAATTATATATTTATTGAGATGTTTGATGGAGAAATATAGAGAGAATATATAAGGAGGATCTACATATGATATTTATTGATTTAGAGAAAGCTTATGATAAAGTTTCAAGAGCAGTGCTATGGGGAGTTTTTGAAAAGAAAGGGACTAATAATATTTATATTCAAGTCATTAAGGATAGGTATGCAAGAGATGTTACTTTGTTCAAACACAAGGAGGTTGGACCAAGTATTTTCCTATTTCAATTGGATTATATCAAGGATATCGATCAACTTTAAACCCATATCTTTTTTGCTTTAGTCATGGATGTTCTTATTAGACATTTGCAGGAAGATGTACTATGGTGTATGTTTTTTGCTGATGATATTCTTCTTGTTGATAAGACTAGAGAGAGTTGAAGGTAAACTTGAATTATGAAGGTCAACCTTAGAGCCTAAATAATTTTGTTTGAGTAGATCTAAAACCAAATACATTGAGTATAATTTTAGTAGTAATAAATCTAATGAGGGAGATTGTAATTTTGAGCGATCAAGTCATTAATAAGAGTATTGGTTTTATATATCTCGGGTCTATTGTCCAGAGTGATGGTGAAATAGATGAATATACTATTAGTTGTATTCAAGTTGGATGATTGAAATGAAAAAATGTATCATAACTACTATATGATAAAAAAGTACCCCTCAAACTTAAGGTAAAATTTTATAAGATGATGGTGAGATCTGTAAAATTTTATGTCATAGAATGTTAGTCATTAAAAGAGAATCATACAATTAAGCTAAATGTTGCAGATACGAGGATGTTCAGGTGGATGGGTAGCTTTACTCTTAGAGATAGAATGCAAAATGAGCATATACGTGAAAGGTTGGAGCTCTACTGACAGACATATAAGATTAGAGAGAGCCATTTTAGATGGTTTGGTCACATAAAATGTTGGCCTTCTGATGACTCAATTATAAACATAAATGTACTAGATTTGATCTATGTTAAGAGAGACAGTGATAGACTTAAAAAGATTTAATTAAAAAATATTAGAAATAATTTTTTATTAGATTTAAATAATAGAGAAAAATAATTCATGTGGCCGACGCCAATCCATATAGTGGGATAAAGACTTGATGTGGTTGAATATTATATTATTAAAACAATTTACATAATGTACTATAAAATATATAACCTAAATTTATAATTAAAAAAAACTATCTAATTCCACCACACGCACACCTATACTTCCAGGCACACTCATGGATAAACTAAAGATAAGGATGAAGGGCAGTTACGTCATTTCTCCCAGCGTTTAGTAAGGCGAAAACCCTAACTGCAACGCCACTCCCAGTGGCGGCGGCGCGCCCGCCGCGGCTACATCTTAAGTGCCACGTGTGCAGCGGATGAGATCCTCATCCCGGACTGACGTGTTCCGAAACTGCATCCGGGCTATAAATACTACGCTTCACCAAGGCTTCCATTTCTTCCCGACCTGGCGGAGAGCAAAGGGAATTCGGAGACGAGAGCGTGGCGAGGAGGCTTCTCAGGGAGAGAAAAAAACTAGGGAGGAGACGGAGATCGCGTTTAGGGTTTCTTGGAGCTTCTCCGTTTGGGGCAACGTGTTCTCTGTCTTGGCTCGAGATTCCCGAGCCAAGACGAATAACTCACATGATCAATTAGTCCTGAAGGCAGCGATCAAAAATTTTTCCAGGGGTTCTGCACATCACTGCTGCTCTCGAAGAGGTAATTAACGATTGTAAGTGGTGTTCGGGAGTTTGATCTGGTGATTTTGCCTGTGATGTTTTGTTGATACGTGTGTGCTGATGTTGGTTCTTGGGTTCTTGGTTTGCAGAGGAGGGCGATGTCGTCGCCTAAGGAGGGTTTCTTGACCGATGAGCAGAGAGAGGTGCTGAAGATTGCCGCGCAGAATGTGGAGGTTCTTTCGTCGTCTCCGAGATCTCCGACTGGGCTGGCCTTGCTTCTACCGGAGCATAATAACAATAAAGGTGGAAGGCCGACCGCTGGGGGAAGCTTGGTAAGGCATGTGCGCCGCTCGCACTCTGGGAAGGTCGTGAGAGTGAAAAAGGGTGAGTTCGCTTTTCCAAATTTTCCAACTCTCTTGTGCTGATGAGTTGACCGGAGCTGTTTTATTTGTTTAGGGTTTAGGGTGCGGTATTTATTAATGTGACATACTTTTTGCTGAAGATTTATTATCTTTTTAGCTAGAATTCCATATGGATGGTTTTTGAATCCCATCATATAGGCTAATGGATGATTTGTTTGCAAATTTCCATACATACAAAATTACGCCAAGGCTGTATAAAAATTGAAACAAAAATTTCCATTGATTGATTTCTAAGTTGAATTAATTATGCTCATATTCAGATCGATCATTTGGTAAACAAGTAGATCAAATCGAACTTGAGATGAGTTATAGAAGTATATCGAATCTTGCTATGACATGATTGTTTCCAAAAAAATTTTAAGCTAACTTTGTTTCAGTTAGATTTGAAAACCTTTCACTAAAGGTAGTGAAGAAGGAAAAAACATCTTGCCAGGATATCTTGATGTAGATTATGTCAATATGGACTCCTACAAGCTGGATTTGGATTGAGATTAGTGCTAGCGGTTGATATTATTTGTTGCACTAATCTCAGTGAATTCAACTATGTGAAGCACATCCGAATGTTCTTTTTTTTTTGGTGAAACACCTTTTACAATTTATACACATTAGAGTTTCGCATAAGAAAAAAAGAAACAAAAAATGTAGGTAGGATTGAAAAAATGATTTACTAAATATGGTGAAAAACCCTTTATAACTTGTGCACATTAAACTTTCACATAAGGCCAAAAGATACACTTGAAGAGATTCTATTGATGTGACATGCTATTGTAAGAATGGATTCACCTTAAAACTGTTTTGGAATGTAAGCAGCAACATAGGGAATTTGACAACTTCCAGTACATGTTAAATTTTTTTTTTCAATAATTTCATTTTTTTGGGAATATCAACATGAACTTTGATGCTCTATCTCTTGAATCAGAAGGTGCAATCCAAGAATCAAATGTTAATATTCTCTCTCATATATCAGCCTGAAAGATTTGTATATTGACTTGGAATTTGGTTTGAACCATGTTGTTGATGTTTTGCAATATTTGACCTACTCCTGCCTTTTTTTTTTATAAAAATATACATGTAAGTCTAGTGTGATCATCACTAAAGGTAACAAATCATCTAGAACATGTAATATTATTGATTATTGATGGTCGTTAACTATCATGGTGTACGATTAAAAGGTTGAGATGGTTTTTACCATTGATTTGGTTAGGTATCACGAACATGCTTGGATATTTAATAAATCTTGCACTTTAATGGTTTTGAGTATCTTTGACTAATGAAGGAAATGATTTTTCAAGATACATGAAATTTGAGTGATAATGCCTCAACATGATATCACCATCTTTATTACTATTAGGGGAGAGTTCAATTTAATTGGTCTTTTTGTGATTTTCTTTCATGATTGTCAACTATAAGAAGATAAAGACCCGCATAGATTTAAGATTGTCAAACTTCTTTCTTGAATCAAAGTTTTGAAATTCAGGACTTTTGTAATACAATAATTATCTCTTATAAGTTTTCTTTTGGATAGCAAATTTTAATATAAATTTAGAACCAAGAGAACATAATCAAGGTTTTACTTTTTGAAATGATAATAAAATTTATACTAATCACTTTTGAGAATGGTCCATGAATAATTTAGATACTGTCATGACATGTTATATATTTAATATATATAGAAGCATCTCCGATCATATGATTTGATGCACTTGAGCCCATAATTGGACTTGAAGTTTGCTCTTAAGGCACTTACAAATTTATCTCTTATACTATGGTACAAACATTGCTTGAAGAATTAGCGTTAGCATTCTTTTGTGATTGTTAGAACTTTTTCAGTAAGAGTTCCAATTGGTCCTTGTTATATGCTTTAGCTTGATGAATTATGGGTTTTGAAAGTGACTCCAAGTCAACTAGTTTTCCATTAATTTTTTCACAAGTCTCCTTTGGTATTCAGATTTTAATCAGTGCTTAGACCATGTTCTTTCTTTCTTTTATCAATTATCATTAATAAATTGTGATCCTCAAAAGACTATGATGGAGTTCAATATTTTGAGATCCCCGCAATACATTTCTTCTCTTTTATTCTCTTTGAAATTCAAAAAGGTTTCTCGCAGGCTAGACAATGGCTTACTACTTAGAATTCTTCATCGAACTTGTAAATCTAGTCTTTTTTAACTTGTATTGTTAATTTCTCTCAGGCCACCTTCACTCCAATTCTTTGAGTATATCAGCTGCCAATTTTAAACCAAGATTTTAAAATATTTGATTACAAAAATTCTGTCTTAGATTGTGGAGTATTATTTTGATCATAAAGATTTTTTGAGGAATTGCTTTCATTGGATTACGTTTCCTTTATTACAATTGTGCATTGAACACAAAAATCATCGCCTACTTGACGTGGAAAGTGCATTGATGCTTCACATGAATGCTTCTCGTCAGTTCTATGATGATATTTCCTTCTCCAAATATTTTCCTATTAATCAAATCTCATCAAAACTACTAGATCACGGCTCACTCATCTTCACTCTTTATTCGGTTATGTTTTTTTTAACTCTTATACTACAGTTCTTTAAATTTATCTTATGTGTTTTGCTCACCAAACAAAGTCTCCACCCATGTTATTGGCCTTTACTATAAATGGATGTAAGTCATGTCTTCTTTCATAGTGACATGCAAGAAGTAGTTAAGATTGGAGCAATCTCCTATGTATGTTGCTCAAAGGGAAAATTATATATGTATACTCAATATGCTATCTATTGTTTTAAAAATTCTACAAGCTTGGTTTGACAAAATTTGTAAAGCCTTGATTGAGATTTGTCTTCACAACAACATTATAAATTACTATATTTAGCAAGCATACCTCTGCAGGTTACGACTCCAATCTTATTAGTTATTTATATTGATGAGATATTACTCGTGGAAAGTGGCCATGATGCAGGACTACAATGCTTTTGAATGTATGCGAGAAGAACTTGCATGATTTTGATAAGAACAATTGCGATTAAGACTATTAGCAATCAAAACGATGAAAGAAAACGTAAGAGGGGTAGCTATGCTTAGGCCAAATCACATGCTAAGCATTTGGATTATCAAAATAACTTAGAATTTCAACAACATGTGAATTAAGTTGTTTTCAACAAAATTCCTAATATAACAATAAGATAGCAACATAGAAAACACACTCAATCCTACGTTTACTAAGCAGAGGTAGAAGGCGAAGCACGGCTCCTTGTGACTTGATCACCACCTACAAGATTAGTGGATTAGGAAATTAAATGAGAAGGGGAAGAAGTTCACCCTTGGGATGGTCTGGAAATGATTTGCCACTGGACATTGACAAGTTGCTCGTCAATGGCCTCCGAAAGCGTGAAGATGATGCAGTCCACGTACTCTTCAATGGAACAATCAACTTCCGTGTTGAAATCGAAGGTGGAGTGGAGGATGTTGGCGTTGCTTTGTTTGTCGTAAGAGAATCCGTAGTCAAGCTCCGGATCGTCCATTCATTGGCTTGAAAGAATGATGCGTAGATGGAGATCATTTGTCATTCCCTTGGAGACTTCTCTAAGGAAAAAGAAGTTTCTCTCTAGTCTTTCTTTGGAGGATGCGAGAAGGGTGGGCGACCTATAAAGGAGGGTACGTGGGATTAAATTTGGCGGCGGGCAAGAGAGGGGCAATGTTTTAATTTAATTCCAATAGGAGAGATTATCTTTTGGAAAGAAATTAAAAGGTGGGGCATTGGTAGATTTCGGCCAAGAGAGGTGGGGAAAATAGGAATTATTTTCAATAGAGAGCTTAGTGGGTTTGGAAATAAATCCCAAGGGATTCAATAAGGGGGCCGGCGGCTTCAATGGGTTAGGAGGAGATTGTGGGGAGATATTTGGGTTTCTTATTTTGGGATTTAGGGATTAGAAAAGATTTAATTAAATCCAATCTAATTTGAAATTCAAATAGGATTTAATTTAGTAACTTTCCTAAAATAGATTTTCTTAATTAGAAAAGAATTTTTCAAATTCAAATTATTTTGAAATTTGAAATTAGACCTTCCTAAATTAAGAGGGGTCACTTATAGAAGGTATTCAAGGGATTTGAATTGTGGAGGGAAGATGGGAGAGGTATGGCCGGCGGCTAGGTTGGGGGCTTGTGGGAATTTTGGTGGGGGAAAGGGTGAAGGAAAGGTGGCTTCGTGGAGTGGGGGAGTTAATCGACGGTGGCATGTGGCTAAGGTGGCCGGTGACTTAGGGGTGGTGTGGGGGGAACCTTAGGCCGGCAGTTAGGGGATGAAGGGAAGAGGAAAAGAGTTAGTGAAGAAGAACCATGAACCCGGCCATCTCCAAGGTTGGTGGGTGATCCGATTTCCATCTCCTAGCGATTTCTCTCCCAAGCACTCTCAAGATCTCACAAAGAACTCAAGCAATGAAAAAATTTTATCATTCATTCATTAAACATGAAAAAAAGAACATAAGGGCTATATATAGCCTTGTACAAAGGACTCAAAATAAAAGATGACTATGCACTTTGGGTTTACACACGACCTCCCTTGGGTAAGGGGTAAAAGCAGAAAAAAAATAATAAAACAAATACAACATAACATAATAAAAGATAAATGCATAATATGACTCAAAAATACATCGACTCAATCGTGGCCGTAGATCGATGGCCACATCTCTGATAGACTTTCCAAGCTCTGATGTCCCCATCAGGCCATCATGCCATCTCTAAGGTAAAATAGTACTAGCAAAAGTACTTTGTAACCAAAGATCTAAAATGGCCCAACTACTTCCTTGGTATTAAATTTTCCTATGGTAAAGAGAGAGTATTCCGCCCTAAAAAGAATTATGCTTTTGATTTTCTAAAAGAAACAGACTTTTTTTATTATAAACTCTTTTATAGTCCTAAGGAGACTCAGAGCACAAATGATGAACCCCTTATTGATCCATATCAATATCGAGTGTTAGTTGGTAAGCTAAT